AGCCCACTGCAACCCCAACAACTCGTTGCAACCGCAGGCTAGAGCATACAGTCAGCCTCGAAAGAAATATGTAAAATAGTGCCGTTACTGACGTTTGATAGACGGATGGATGGCTGGTTGGTGGTCTGAATGGATGGCCAGAACGCAGCTTGGGGTTTGCCTCTGATTAGTTCAACGACTTTTATTGCTCAATGCCTGTAATGAAGCTGCATAAGCTGTTCCGTATCCGGGCAAAGCCCTGCTCTGCCACTGTAATTAGTTGCCCGCGGGGTGACTCATAAAAAGCTAAAGCTTTCGCTTTATCTAGCCATAGTTTCTTTTATTGCGCATACGCCCCGTTGCTTTATTTGGCACATCTCCTCGAGGCAGCTGGGACGGACAGACAAATCGAGAGTTATTTACTCGAGAGTGCCGCTAAGGAAGACAGAAATCCAGACGGACATTGCTTTGGCCTGATCAGAACTCGAAATCCCTAACAGAACTCATTATGCCCTCTTTTACTGTAGGGTATGAAGTAATACGGATATAAGTCCCGGTTGGTTAAATGATAAAAATGCGTTAAATGAAGCGTGCAAAATCATGACTGTTGTTCGCCTAAATAGAAAATAATATTAGCTTAGACATTTTGTACTTAATTAAAGTTCGTCTAGAACATATCTAGAACTCAGCAGGAAATTTACTTAATTCAAGAACGAGTTCGCCGCATTTCTCTCAGTGTAATTTTCAGTCCCTCCAATTGGGCGCTAAAATGCGAGTTCATTGCATAAAATTTACATACTGCTGAGGATTTGCCCCATCTATAGGAAATTTTTAAAATTTATATATACATATTTGTAGCTTGAAGCACCTGGGGGAAATTTGAACACAGACAGATACACTCCCAGGTTTCTGTCAGCTGTAACGACATGGAAACTGCCAGCTAAGGGCAGTATATTAGAATTATCATAAGGTCTTGAAACGCCCCCCGCCCCCTTTTGTAAATGTGTCATAATTTTGCAGATAACATGACGCAATTGAGTTGATGAAGCGGCGCCAAGCCACGACAACGAGTACCAACAGTTCGACTCGATATACTTTATAGGGCTAAGCACAGTTACTCATGTGAACGCAACCGAACAGCAAGTTGTACTACCATATGACTAAAATAGATCGACAGAGCAGAGCCAGAGCCAGAACCCCGAAACAGAGGTACACAAACGCATCGTATAGCTGACAATACAGATCATTAACATCGGTAATTAGTCGGGAACTGTTGTTATTATAATCGAGCGCTGATCTGTAGTATATATATAAATCATATACGCGTGTATGTAGTTATGTGATTTCTATAATTTCTCAATGTTTACAAACATTTTACAGCAAAATGACCAAGTTAACTGGCTGAGTCGGTGGTAGCCAGTTCAAAGCCCAGCAGTCGGTGACCTAGTTGCAACGAGGAAGGCGGAAACACAGACAGACAGACAGATTAAGTCGGGTGGTGTTGGAGTCGGTGCTAGGAGCGGGGCTGATTTTTCAGAATGCGACGACCAAAAATATCGCTCAAAAAGTATTTCTATTTTACGTTGATCTGTGCGCTGCTCCTGATATTCGGCTTCAATCTCAAGTGAGTTCCCATTAACGAAATGAAGTTCATGTCAGATGTTAACTTATCACAACTTTCAGGGAATATGAGATATGGAAGTCGAACATAACGCGACCCGCCCTGACAGCTTCACAGCAGCAGCAGCAGCAGCAGCAACAACAACAGCAGCAGCAGCAACAACGACATGTCTTTGGCGTGGAAACAAATGAGGTGAAGAGTTGGTCTCTGGAGGAAGCCACCTCGACATACGCTTCAGCGCCGCCGGCTACGCCTGTGCCTGGCCCTGAACAGGCCCAAAATCCGCTGCAGCAGCAGCTGGAGGCTGAGGCGGGCGAGGGGGAGGAGGAGGATCCCTCAGCGGACAAGCGTGGGGAGTTGGCGGCCACAGCCAAGCCCTGGTTCTTTCGCAATGGCGAGTACTATCCCAGGCCCGCAAAAGCCTTCAGCAATCGCAAGGCACGCAAACAGCATGCGCCCAAACTCTTTCCTCACCAGGATCCGCACAGCGATCGCGTCGTCAATCAGCTTATGTATGTGCCGCACAATTACGAGCAGATCAAGTCAAGTGGCAAGCTGAAAACTATCTTGTTGTACAATGGCTTGGGCCCGTGGAATGTGAAAAAGGGTCGCGAGGTCTTCCTGCGCTCCAAGTGTCCCGTGGACACTTGCGAGCTGTCAGCGAATCGGGATCTGGCCAGTGTGGCAGATATGATACTCTATAAGGATAACTATATACCCACGGGCATACGACGGCCCAGCAATCGTAAGCAGGTCAGCATGATGTACTATCTGGAATGTCCATATCACACACAAAACGTCAAGGTGCCAGACGCCATCAACTGGACGGCCACATATAGGTAAGCTTTGGGATTATTTTTCGACCAATTAAATTTTGCTTTTATGTGAAACTCTTAAATGCCTAACTTGGAGGATATATATTGATACACACAAAGTTTACTAATGCAAGAACTTAATTTTCGATCGATTATTCTTATGGAACCATATTATATAGTAGTCCGAATCGAGCAATTCCAAGAGTTTTATAACGATAGCTTTAATTAAGATCAAGCGATTAGAGATCTCTTTCGATACAAATCTAGAATACCTATATCTATAAGGAAAACACTTGACCTTCTTTCCCTTCCTTTCTTTCTAAGACGTGACAGCACTGTGATGGCCCCATATGAAAAATGGCAATACTATGATGTTAAGGTGCAGCAATTGGAACAGGATCACAATTATGCGCTCAACAAGACGAAAAAGGTTGCCTGGTTTGTGTCCAATTGCGGTGCACGCAATGGCAGATTGCAGTACGCACATGAGCTACAAAAACACATTGAGGTAATTATCGGAAAAGTAGACCTTAACTTCTAGAGAATGTCCTGAAGAATGATTCTTCAGCTGTTCCCAGAAGGTATTCAGCTTGTATAATCGGAAGCATTCCATGAAATGAATCTTGATTTCAACTCGGTATATTCTAATCTCTCTAATATTTCATTTTTATAGGTGGATATATATGGCGGCTGTGGGAATTTCAAATGTCCTCGAAGCACCGCTGACAAATGCTTCGACATACTCGACAATGACTACAAGTTCTATTTGGCATTCGAGAACTCCAATTGCAAGGATTATATCACGGAAAAGTTCTTTGTGAATGCGCTAAATCGCAAGGTGCTGCCAATTGTAATGGGCGCCCGACCCGAGGACTACGAGGTGAGTGCTCCACGTCGATCCTACATACACGTCGACGAGTTTGCCTCGCCCAAAGAGCTGGCCGAGTATCTGCATATACTCGACAAGGACGACGAGCTGTACAACTCGTACTTCAAGTGGAAGGGCACCGGTGAGTTCATCAACACGTACTTCTGGTGCCGCGTCTGCTCCATCCTGCACAATGAGGATCAGCTCCGCAAGTCATCCTGGTACACCGATGTCAATGATTGGTGGCGTGGCGCCGGCGTCTGCACCTCGGGCTCGTGGCGGAATTTCAAGGCGCGCATGGATGTGATTAGCGATGAGTGAAATGGGGTCATCGTCCAGATAGTGGACGGCGCGGGTGTCATTACATAATCAAAAAATCCAATACGTGTCGCTATATATATTTAAGTATATATTGTTGTTGTTGTTTTTGTAGGTATGTTTGTACTAATGTGTAAAAACGCGCCTTCGCTTTTAACGAAGAACCGGGTCAGAACCGCGAGTAACGTACTTGTTTTCTAGCTAGAACTAAGTGCAACTAATCGCTTCAAATACAAATACATACATGTATGTATATAGATATATGTGTGCGTGTATTAAGCATGAGCAAATCGAAAATCAAACGAGCATGGGGCAAAAGCCTCGGTATAAATCGAGGAATAAACATGTTCCTTCCAGGATTGATACAACCGCTTACGGACAGTTCAATACAAAGAAAAAAAAGCGCATAGAAACTAGCCTATATATAGACTAAAGATCCCGAGCAGATCATTGTAACATATACAATACCAAATAAATAAGAGAAATTAGCCTAGTTATACAAATGATATGATACTTATGTATATTTCAGTTGTTCAAAGAGCAAGTCCAATTTAGCGCCTAGGCCAAAGACGAAACGGACACACAAATATATGTTCAGTAGCGGAATATATATATATATACATATATATATATATATATATATATATATAAAGTAAGCTGAGCATAGAGCATACATACATATATACGAGTACATATATATATATATAATTATAAATCGTTTTTTAAGCATTTTTGTAAGCAACAAAGTCAAGATACTTTTAATTTGCCTGCTTATAGATAGTTTCGATTTAGACCTTAGTTCCAATAGCTTTGCTTTTAGTTGGATCAATCGTTGTAGTTAATAATATCGCACAAAGTCGCGCAGTATTCAGCTTAGGCTGAGCTGAAATCTGGTCGTTAGCTTTTAGACTGCAACAACAACAACATTCCTATTTTTATACACTCGCTGAGAATAACATAATTTTTGAAAAATAATTGTTTGTAAAGCTTTTAAGAAGCCAAATCTATATGCTCAATATCTAGCCAGGCTGTGCAAAGTATACTTGTTATAAATGGCATTGGTTGGATTAGGGCATTTAATCTTCGGTCTGCCGAAGTCAGCAGCTTGGCTCTCTTAGTTTTCTTTCGCAATATTATTGTATTTAGTATGTACTTAATCCACGTGTAACTCTTCTCATTGTTTACGTTTTCAGTCATGTGTATAACTGATCATTTTAGTTGTGAACTTGAATTGAACTGTGTGTTTTTACAATTCTTGGCAATATTTATTCGATAATGTTTAATTTGTAAGCATTTAATAATATCATATGTGTATTTTGATTGTGAATTCAATTAATTTTTAATTTTTACTGTGATAAAAAAAAAGATGAAAATAAACAATGGCAACAAATACAACAAATGGCAAACGTTTTTATGAATAAAAAAAATAATTATAGTTTTAATGAAAATACTGCATAGTAATAAACAGCCTATGGCAATAATGCGGAATTTCATGGGCTTTAGCAACGTATACGTAATATTTCTCAAACATCTAAGACAGCAAAACAAGCTGTGTTTATATATGACAAGAAAAATGAACAAATGTTTGCTTAACTTTTCTTTTGTGAGCCTCCTCCGTAGCTGGCATCTAGTCGAGGGTTAATAATACATTTTGTCTCTAGACATGACACATTTTCAGCTGCTGCAGCAAATCTTTCAAGTTATTTAGTTTATCCGGCTTTTTGTTTACATCACCTGCAGCTGCTGCTACAATTTTAGCTGTAATTTTGCGCTGAAGTGCAATGGCCTCTACTTTTTTGGATAGCTGTCGTTTAAGTAATGAGAGTTACAATTGCAATTGATGCGAAATTAAATCCACAACTTACCTCGTAGGCACGTTTGATAATGCCGTGTGGCATGCCTGCCAGCTTAGCTGCATTAAAGCCATACGATTTGGGGCAAGCACCCGCTGTGTATTTGTACAGGAAGGTGACTGTCTCCTGTGTGGGATCTGTGTTGTCCTCATTCTCAACCATGCACGCCATATGGCCCAGTGTAATTCTTTTGTCCGTGTGAAAGAAGTCAATCAGGTTGTGGTAATGCGTAGAGAACAGCGTGCGACACTTCAGATTGGCCAAAAAGTTGACCACAGAGGCGGCGATGGCGGTGCCATCGTAAGTGGCCGTGCCGCGTCCCAGTTCATCAAGCAGCACCAGAGAGTTGCACGTAGCATGCTTCAGTATAAGCGATGTTTCGTTAAGCTCCACCAGGAAGGTGCTGTGACCGGCCAGTATATCATCCTGTGCGCCTAGGCGCGTGAAAATGCGATCCACAAGCGAAAGCCGGCAGCTGACAGCAGGAATATGAGCACCCTACATGACATAACACAAGAGTTATCAAAGCATACAAGTGGGGGCCAAGTGCTACTTACAATTTGTGCCATGATAACCAACAAGCCGAGCTGTCGCATTAGCGTGCTCTTGCCGCCCATATTGGGGCCAGTAAGTAACGATAGCGGTGCCTCCGAGTTGGTGCCCAGCTGCAGGCCATTGGGTATGTAAGTAGATGGATTTGCGCATGGATGATAGCCTTCCTCCAGTTCTATGAAGGGCTGTGCCTGCTGTGCCGAGACCAGCTCCGGCACACAGATGACCAATTGCTGGCGCGCATATTCCGCCAGGGCGGCGAGCACATCTAGCGTGGCCACACAGTCGATGCACTGCTTCCACTGTTGATAGTGATTGGAAAACTTTTCAAAGAGGCGACGAGCCAAATCCTTGAGCACCGTATTGCGCGCCTCTTCCGCCTGCTGCATATCCTTCAGCAGCGCTTTTGTTTCCGCTGTGGTGTACCGACGCGCGGCCTTCTTTCCCTTGATCTGACCCTCCAGTGCATACGACTTGTTGGCCTTGTGCGCATGCGACTCTGGCACCTCCAGCTGATATCGTTTTTTATCCGAGCCAAAGTATACCACACGACAGCCAAAATGGCGTTCCTGCTCGGTAAGATAAGCCTTCAGGCGTTCCTGGACGTCTGCTATGCGCTGCTGCACCTCATCGTAGTCGGCATCCACGCCAGGCTGCGGCGCAATTACACCCGTCTTGTCGGCTGCCTCATGATCGAAGGCATTTTCAAAGAACTTCAGCTGCTTGCTGAGATCGGGATAAGTGCCCCCATTTGGCGGCAACTGGGTTAAACGCTGCATTAGCTTTGTCTCGCATTGCTGAAACATTAACGGCAATTTCATAAGCGTCTCGAATCCCTTGAGTATGCTCATAAAGCTGCGCAACTTCTGTTTGTTGTACAGCTTCTCCTCGAAGAGTATGGCCCTGGAGTCTGGATGCTCTGTTTGGGCAATGCGCTTACTGCCAAACAGATGAATCTGAGCCAAATGCCGCTCAAAGTCCGGCATGGGCGCCAGCAAAGCCCGCAACTGCTGCAGTTCATCGGGCTGGCGCAGCAGCTCCCCAATCGCCTCCTGTCGCTCACGCAGTACAGCCAAATCACAGCTGGGCGCGCATAGCCAGTGATGCAGCAACCGCTTCCCAAACTTGGTGCAGCAATGATCCAGCGTCGACAGCAGCGAATGCTCCTCGCCCACAATGCGCAGATTAGATAATGTAGTGGCATCCAATACCATGTGAGAGCGACGCAGTGTAGCAGCCAGCGGTTGCTTGGTATTCGCTTCCTGCTCTTGATCGGGCGGCACATATAGCTGATAACGCGCCATGGGCAGCACTTTGGGTTCCAGCTTACATTTGGCTATGTAGTGAATGCACTGACCCAGAGCTTTAAGTGCCAGCTTGTAGGGCTCCGCAGGCGTGAGGCCCAGGTGATCCGTGTCCGACTGCATTGTGCGCAACACCAATGGCCAGTTATCCTCAGTGCCATTGCCAGCATAGTAGCGCTCCGCTAGCAACTTCAGCGTCTTCTCAGCACTGCAGAGCTGGTTGCCAGCACAAGGCAGCTGCTCCTTGAGTATGCCGCCGAGCACAGTGCGTAGAATTTGTTGCGTGCGAGAGCTAAGCGCTGATTTCTCGTGAAGCAGCTAAGAATGGGATAAGGTTTCGATTGGGTTACTCTGTCAATATAATGAAATTGTACTCACCAGGACAGGCATGTGATGGGAGATAAGCGTCAACAGGCGAGAGCAGCTTTTGTCATCCTCGAATTCGCCCACATGGAAATCACCAATGGAGGTGTCTATAAAGCAGATGCCATATTTGCTACTCGTGCCCGTATCCTGCTCCACTATGGCCAACATATAATTGGGCTGATGATTGGGTCCAATGGCGCACTGCGAGCCAAACACTTGGGTGCCACGATCCGTTATCTGACAGATCTCACGAGCGACAACCTTGTCGAACTTTGTGGCCTTTATACGTTTGCAGCGCTCGATCATCATGTCCGGAGTTTCGGTTTGCTCCACCCGTGCCACCTAGGCAGAGAAGAATAATTGTTAGATTTGTGTTTAGAATTTACTTTCTGTGCTCACCTTATAGCCCCTGTCTATCAGTATGGAGGACATCTTGTCAAAGGAGATTTCTGGAAAGCCAGAGTGGGCAAATTCGCCGCGCATGTAGGTAAAGCCCAGCTCATTTACGCCCACATCGGCGTCGCCGTGATACAGCTCATAGAACTTGCCCACCTTGAAGAAGAGCACACAATCGTAGTTGTCCGACTTGAGTATCCACCACTGACGCACGCCCGGCGACAGTCCATTGAGAAACTTCTCGGGCACGTGCAGCGTGCTCTTGTCGTAGTCGGGATGATCTGGTCGCCTGCCGGCCTTGTCTTTAATCTTGTCAGGCTGCAGGAAGTCCAGCTTCTGATGTGGCCACACAACTGGTTCATCCATATTTGATGTTGTGGTCACAATTTCATCGTACGCAGCGTCCTTTTTGGCATTGCTTTGTAGCTGTTGCAGCTTTTCCATGAACGTGCCACCGGCAGCCAATACAGGAGCATCAATCTTGGCCTTCTTGCTGGCAGGCTCATCGTTGTTGTTGTTGTTAATGTGTTTTTTCGAAGCCTTTGTGCGCTGCTTCTTGGGCGTGGGATCGTCGTCTGTTTCCAACTCGCTGGGCTCCGCTTCCTCGTCGCCACTTTCGCTCTCCTCACTGATGGTGGCGTCTTTGCCATCCGGCTCATACTCGGAGCCATCATCGGAAAAGTCCGGCTCCGATTTGGATTCGTATTCTTCTTCGCTTTCTGATTCGGGCACTATAATACGTTTTCGCTTACGTTGGCCTTTCTCCTGCTCCTTCTCACTGTGCTTATCATCAGGGCTGGCTGAAATCGGCAACTTGCGTTTGGCAGCCGGCTTGGACTCCTTTTTCGCACTCTTCAGATTTCCATTCTGCAAGTTCTCCTTTTGTAGCTCGCTGCCACCGCCGTTGCTGGGCGTGAGTTTCCTTTTGTCAACTGCTGGCGATTTGGCAAAGTAGTTAAACAGAGTGTTTTTTGGCGTGCCACCAGCGCTAGTATTTAGTTTTTTGGACATTTTTCAAGCGCCCAGACTGGCGTACTAATCTCGACTACCAAGAAAACAAATGACGCCAAAAATCTGCGCCAAAATTGAGCGGCAATCAATAGCAGAGCAATAACAGCGCCGTAACATAATACAGCTGATATTCAACAAAGTGGCAACGACGAATGTGTGGCAACGCTAAAATAAAACATCTGTTTACTGTCGTTGGCAACGCATAAAACGTTTTGTTTACAACGAAAGTAAAAAACTATCAAAAGGCCGGAAAAGTATAATAGTCAAAATAAAATATGTCGCTAGCGGATGAACTACTTGCAGATCTAGAGGAGGACAATGACAATGACATCGACGATGCCGAAATGGCCGATGCCGACGATGTCGAGCAGGCAACACTAAACCACGAGCTCGCTGAAAAGTTGCTGAAGCCTGGGCCTAATCTCATGGAAGTGGACGTAACAGTCCAATCCGTGCGGGAGCTGTGCAAGCTGCGCGACTCGGAACGTTTACAGAACACTCTAAAGCAAATCGAGCACTATGCAAGGCGGCAGCGCAGCGCCGCCGAAATGTTGGGCAGCGTGGAATCCGATCCGGAATACTGTCTGATTGTGGATGCGAATGCGATTGCCGTGGATATTGACAATGAGATATCTATAGTGCACAAGTTCACCAAAGAAAAGTATCAGAAACGCTTTCCGGAGCTCGACTCACTAATCGTGGGCGAAATTGAATACTTGCTGGCTGTCAAGGAGCTGGGCAACGATCTGGATCAGGTCAAGAACAATGAGAAGCTGCAGGCCATACTCACTCAGGCCACCATCATGATAGTCTCGGTCACTGCATCCACCACGCAGGGGTAAGTAATAGTTCCTAGTACCATATAGCATTTAATCGTTTGCGTTTTTTTCATAGCACCATGTTAACGCCCGCGGAGAAGGCAAAAATCGATGAGGCCTGCGAAATGGCAATTGAGCTGAACAATTTCAAATCCAAGATCTACGAGTACGTAGAGAGCCGTATGACCTTCATTGCGCCCAACCTGTCCATGATTGTCGGCGCCTCCACAGCTGCCAAACTGTTGGGCATTGCTGGCGGCCTGACCAAGCTCTCCAAAATGCCGGCCTGTAATGTGCAGGTGCTGGGCTCCCAGAAGAAGACGCTCTCGGGCTTCTCGCAGACACAAATGTTGCCGCATACGGGCTACGTCTACTACTCACAGATTGTGCAGGATACGGCGCCGGATTTGCGACGCAAAGCGGCCCGCCTTGTGGCTGCCAAGTCGGTGCTAGCAGCGCGTGTTGATGCCTGCCACGAGAGCGTGCATGGCGAGATTGGACTGAAGTTCAAAGAGGACATCGAAAAGAAGCTGGACAAACTGCAGGAGCCGCCGCCGGTGAAGTTCATCAAACCGCTGCCGAAACCCATCGAGGGCAGCAAGAAGAAGCGCGGCGGCAAGCGTGTACGCAAGATGAAGGAACGCTACGCGCTGACCGAATTCCGCAAGCAGGCGAATCGCATGAACTTCGGCGATGTAAGTGCATTGGCATGGCAATTCGTTTTGCTTGTTAAATTATTAACAATTTATCCCACTTGCAGATCGAGGAGGACGCCTATCAGGGCGATTTGGGCTACTCGCGGGGCACCATTGGCAAAACAGGCACTGGCCGCATTCGTTTGCCGCAGCTGGATGAGAAGACAAAGGTGCGCATCAGCAAGACCCTGCAGAAGAATCTGCAAAAGCAGCAGGTCTATGGCGGCAATACGACCGTGAAGCGTCAAATATCAGGCACTGCGTCCAGCGTGGCGTTTACTCCACTGCAGGGCCTGGAAATAGTTAATCCTCAAGCGGCGGAGCGATCCCATACTGAAGCCAAGTATTTCTCGAATACATCCGGCTTTCTATCCGTGGGCAAGCGAACCATTTAAAAGGACCGCGAGCTTCTTATAAAATTAAGCATTTTTATTTAGCGATTTGTCGGCATTGTGAGATATTCCATGAGCTGCGGAATTTGTTAGGCCTAATAAAGCTGGAGAGATTCTCGAAATAGTCCACATGTTGATTCGCTAACTGAGTTTGCCAACTTCCAGTTTACGTTGAAGGGCCTCCCACGAGTTGTTCAGGAGCACCGCCAAAATGCCCGCCACGGTGAAGACGCCGCCAACAATCGAGCAGCAATTGGTGGCAAAGTGGCCAAAGGAGCTGCAGGATATATTATTTATGATTACCGACTTCTTGAATCCTAGATCTTGCAATTACTTACACGTGCCGCTCGGCGTACTTGACCATCAGCGGAGAGAGCTCGTAGCTAAAGAAGATGCCCGGCATGCCACGCTCTCGATCCGTTAAATCCTTGCGATGCCGCGTGACCGAGAACTGATTTGTATATATGGGCTGGCCGTCGCTGTGCCGCTCATAGAGCGTCGGCACAATTTTCAAATAATAGTTGAACATTTCACTTTTCGATTCTACAACGATACATTTAAAATAATATCACTTTGTCAAAAATTCAAATTTTCAAAACTTATTGGCATTGCAAATTATACATAATAATTGCCGTTACAGTAGAGAATTTGTCCATCCATTTAATTGAAGTGTCATTCTGCTATAAAGACCAATGCTCACAAGCGCTATCTGGCGGCATAAAACTGAAGCTCAACGCCAGGGCTGCTTTGGCACACATGTTAACCTTTTGACAGCTACAATTGGGATAACAAAATTGTTTTTTAAGTCGTCGCCGACAAAACATAAAATTTCATTTTTTTGGGCAAATTTGGAAGACGAATGCCTAAAAAGCTCGGAACAAATTCAAGTCCGCAGATAATTCTTGCAATACGAACAAGACAAAGCGCAAGTCGCAGAGGAGATCGCCAATATGCCGTTGCCCAGCGGTTCCTTCTCCCAAAGTGGACCCACATGCTTTGACAAAATGAAGACTGGCTTCACCATTGGCTTCTGTGTGGGAATGGCCAGCGGTGCTCTATTTGGCGGCTTCTCGGCACTCAGGTAAGCCTCAACCAACGTGCCGTTGTCCATGCGTGACGCAAGTGTTGCACGCACTCAGATTATGTAATTGCCGGCTAATTATATGAAACTGCAACTTTTAGATATGGACTACGTGGACGCGAGCTAATAAACAATGTGGGCAAAGTAATGATTCAAGGAGGCGGCACTTTTGGCACCTTCATGGCCATCGGTACGGGCATACGTTGCTGAGAGCTTCCTGACCCGGATTGCATTTTGATTGATAATAATTACACTTCCCCCGTATCCCCAAACCCTCAACATAAGCTAAGTTTTTAAGTTATCTTAAAATGAATGAATGCTTTAAAAATTACGCTATGTATAAGTTATTGCAATAGAAGAGTTGTTAAGCCAAATCCAAGCACGACCTTTGTACTCACCCTGAACTTCCACGCGCAGCCCGTCCAGTGGATGCGTTTTGGCAAATTCAATCTTCTCGCCGAAAGAGAGGTGATTAATGGTGTGGGAGAGCTTCACATTGGTGAACTGAAAGTCGTGTATGTGAAACTGACGTATGGAGAAACTCTTGCCGGGAGCAAAGTGGAAGCTGCCTGCCATCTAAACGAAATACAAAAAATCTATATACATTTTCGTCCGGGTGAGCTGTTGTCATGACTTACCCGGTTCACCTCTAGGTGGCCCTGTATGCGGCAGCCTTCCTTGAAGGCATCTTCATCGGTGCGCTTGTATTTTCCTTTGCACTGCTCGATTTTGTCCACCTGCATGTTCCACTTGCGCACCCGATACGCATCCAAAACATCCTCGCAGGTGTTGCAGCAACTAAAACAAGAAGTGGAAATGGTTGAAGAGGAAGTCAGCGAGCATCCACTGTGAATATACTCACTGTGTGGCATTGTGCTCGGCACCGTAGCAGCTGCCACAGGTGCTGTTCTTATTGGGCGGCGACACGGCCACGATTTCCTTGATGGGCGTTTCCTTTAGGGGCTGTCCCTCGAGATCCAAGCGATGCTTGAACACATCGTGGTCCACGCGCAAGTGCGTGTCACCTGAGGAGTCCATTGCATCCAGAGATATATAATTGCATGCCAGATTGTGCAGCGTGACGTCCAGGTTGATGCGCAGCTTGTGACCGCGTGTCGTGTCCACAAAGAGCTCCTCGCTCAGCATCGGCTTCATGTAGTTGAGGAACTCCAAAAAGACAAGCAGGCTTATAATGCTGCTACTAATGATTGTAACTATATTACAAAAAACATTTTTAGATTATTTGTTTATGTGGTCCACAAAACTTGAAACTTACCGGCGGCGCCGCCCACTGTGCGCACGCTGAAATCATCTAGGGTGCGCGGATACGCATCCAGACGACGTAAAACATCGGCGAATTTCATATTTTATAGACAAACACAAACAATTGAAGAGGAAGTTACGTTTAGAAGAAAATTTACATGATTTTTATAAGCGGCAAGCGAATTGACGATGTGACGTGGTTGATAAACAGCTGAGAGGCAACAACACAAAACAAGCGGCTAGGCTGCCACCTAGTCGTGGTGCTGCCACATCACTGAAAATATGTTGGTTCTAATAAAGTGCGCGCTTTTAACGTACAAAGGATTTGATTTACAAAGAAGTGGCCTGCACTAGTGCTGCCCAATCGCTAAAAGAGAGTTGCCTGCTACTTTCAAAAAGTTTTTTTAATGCTACAAATATAATATAAATAGTCGAATGTCTTAACAGGCTTAGTTAGACGCAGACAAAAGAGATTAAAGAGCTTCGAATGCATTGCGTTTATGGTAAGCGGTGGACCATATGCCTGCTTCTTGCTTAATTAACAAAACACCCCAGCGACCCATGAATTCACCCACTCTGTGCATTTGTGGGGCAGGGACATATTGTTTAATAGTGTTGTCATGTCTTGAGGCTGTGGTTGCGCATACATTTGGCAGACCCTGCGGGCCACGCCCACTCAAGCGATGGTGTGGTCTACTAGACCGCGTCTAATTTTATAATACATGTTAAACAGATGAAAGGTTAATTGAAGGGAACCACAAGCTTCGACAGGCCACGCAGCGCCTAGCTTTTAAGGGTTGTTTTTGTTGTTGCCGCTGCTCAAAGCCACCGAGAACAACAACAATAGAAGGGAGAGTAATCGGGCAGCCAAGGGATTTTGGTTAAAGTTAAAAGTTTGCGCTTAAATATAAATCACCAATACGACTTGACGGCTGACTGAAAGCCAACCCCACATGAGCGCGGGGCGATCCCAAGATGCGGATATGCATACCGCGAATTTGTGTAATTAGCAATTAAGCTCAAGTCCGCTAAAGCAGCGTTAGACCCGCAATTCCTTTGTCCCCTATTCAGATGCCTGAAACTTGAAAGCTCTTTGCATTTACTTTGTCCAGTAATCCCAAATCAGGCACGGCACCAGATGACAAAGATTAGCTACTTGCAATTTTTCTCATTTCTGTCGAGCAAGCATAAAGGTAGGGTATTAAAAAGCGCACATACCTAAGCTGTAAGAAAGGTAGTACCGAAAGAATCGCTATTCGCAAGAAAAACTAATGGATTTCATGTTGATTTACTTAAGAGAATGTTGACTAGGATTAGTTTCCAACATTATGAAAGATGATTGCTCAAATTGTTCAATTTCTTTTTGATTTCGGCGAAATCTTCCCTTTGCAAACTGTCTTTCTTTTTGAGATTTCTTAAGCTAAATAGAAACTTGCTTCTGTGGGTCAGTCTTAGAGTATTTGAGCTTTGCCATGTTACCATCTCCCGCCCCAAATGGCTGCTTATCTGCCGTGCTATCGCTAGCCGCACTAATTTGCATTTCTAACCATTTCGTTCTAACCAATTCGCGTCGTTTCTCATTTGAAACAATGAACCCAAGAACAACGAGAGTCATTGTGCTCTGTCCGGACTCCGGACAATAAAAGCCAAGAGACCCAGACAATGAGAGAGAACGTGGAATGGATGGAGTGTAAGAAAGTTGCCAACTGTAAAGCAGAAAAGAACTTGGCGTAAAGCAGCTTAAGCAATCAGGACCGCCTAATGGATATTGACACTTTAATGCCCAAGCCCATGCCCACCGACTGCTCCTCCAGAGAGCAGGGCAACCCGTGCAGATGTCGTCCTGAGATTTGCCTCAGTTTCTTTTTACTTTTCTCTCTTATTTTTTCTGCTGTTTTATGCGGCATTTTGTTCTTTAAACAAAAATTGCAGTGCCGAAATTAATTATAGAGCCGCTTGGCCATATTTAATTAAATGTGGACATTTTAAACTTGCTTACCAAACCCCTGCTCTATCTACCTCTCTCCCCCGCCCGCCCAATCTGAGTGGGGCAGACCAAAAGGCGTAATTAATTAGTGGAGACGTGCCAAATAATTGCGGTAAAAGTAACTTTTCTTTTTGGTCGGACTTCTTTATTTTTTGGTCAAGAAATGTTTCAATTACGTGTATTACACGCCAGATGGTAGTCCGGGGTTACCGGAGGTAACAGGAGGGCTGCCAAAGTTTTGGGCCATTGCGCTCAGGTGGAAATTAATTAAATTAGCAGGCGTCACTTGAGCGCGCAATTAAGCAAAGTGTCGTCCAAAGACTTGAAATATTTTTGCCAAATGGATAACACACCGTTCACTTCCTCCCCCACTTCCACCCCCCTCACGTCGTCGCACATATTTTTGCATACTTCTCTACGTTAGCCCCACCCGCCCACTCACTTCCGCAGTAAAAACCGAAAACGTCATTTCCGACAAATTAGCCCAGTCAACTGACAACAACGTAATATTGTTGCACTACCCAATTTGTATTCGGATTTCTATGTGTATTTGTATTTTAACTGCCAGCAGCAGCGACTAACAACCGACACGGCCACATTTTGAGCATATTTCCTGTGTTAGACGAAAAATGTGCCCGATAGCAATTGCCAAACTGACCACCTACAAAAGTTTCAGTTACGTTACGTTTGCGTTTTCACAGAAATATTCATTCAATTTCTGAACTTTATTCAAATTGTAAAACGAACATAATATCTTTGTTCACATCGCGTCATTTGCTTGAAAAAGACAAAAATATTGCTATTCTGTCCATTTTTATTGTACATTTACTAATGATATATATTAGCATGGAAATGGATCGCGATGTATGCCCTTTTTATGTTTATAGCCCCTTTTCGAAAACGACTTGGACTAGGAGGTACATGTTACCATTATGTTTCGCACCCTCAACTGAATATTTTTCCACCCCTTCGTGGGGCTATACAAAATGACGGTGCGGCCCTCTACCTGTTCGAAAGCTATCTTGTGTGCCAATCTTAACTTAAATTAAAGCTTTTCCCCCCTGTGTTTCCTATTGGCACGTCGCGGCGTGTCGCACGTCGGATGCAGTGCGTAAAGTTCCAATTAATTCCATCACATTTCTTCTGGCATTATTAATTGTCAACGCGCATTAATTGCATTTGTAATGCGTCATAATTACTGCAAATTATGCGCTCACACCATGAGGAACAACTTCACGTGTGTGTATTTTAGTTTTTTTTTTTTAAATGATCAAGTTGAAGAATGTTTTATTAAACATGTAAAAGCTGCCTGCAGAAGCTCAATGAATTTTTCTACATTTAGAAGTATTTTGTTTTCTTTGGCATTCAATATCTTATTATATATTATATATTATATATTATATATTATATATTATATATTATATATTATATATTATATATTATATATTATATATTATATATTATATATTATATATTATATATTATATATTATATATTATATATTATATATTATATATCTTATTTATAGTTTTTATTAATCTACACTTTTACTAACTTGATTTCTGTTTCGCTAATTATTTTACTGTTATACTAGTAAATAACCCGTGGTCAGTTCTGAATTTCCTTAACTTATATTCCTCTTTATATGTATGTGAGTATATAATTTACTAAGCCGAATAAGCACACACGCACGCACGGTTAATTTATTGACAGCAAGAGAGTTAATTAGAGCGAGAGTGTGAGCAGAAATAACGTTTATTAGGTTGGCAACACGTCTTGTTTACTTTAACAGTTTATTTTACTATCACAGCATGAATAATTGGTAGCTTTACTAGGATTTCTGAGTATCGCATAGAAGGGCGATGCTTTAAAATACTTTTGTTAAAATTTGCACAGCAGGGGTAGCTTCACTTGACTCCCGTTTGGCATAAGGATTGTAAGTACAAGCAAATGTACATACATGCATATACATACATGCATATATACATGCATATATATTTATACATATGTACATGTATGTTAAACATGTATGTAAACACATTTTAGACAAAACTACGTACATATATAAACGCATGCTTATATTCATATTGTACATATAAACATACATGCATGTGCATACATTTTACACA